GGAACAGGAATGAAGACCGACCAATGCACAAGGAGGTCGCCCTCCTGCTGAAGCCGACCAAGTTTACTGGAGCAGGTGATCCTGAGGCCGCATCCCTTTGGATCAAGGAGCTGGAAAAGGCATTTGCTTTACTGAGATGCTCAGAGGAAGATAAGGTCACTCTGGCTGTTAACCAACTGCAAGGTAATGCCAGCACTTGATGGGAAGCTACTCAAAGAAGGGTTTTTCTCGAAGGTACAGTCCCGGCGTGGGGTGCCTTCGTGGAGGCTTTTAATGGGAAGTATTTCTCGGATTGTGCCTAAGAGCAAAAGATGGCTGAGTTCCAACGCCTTAGGTAGAAACAGCTGTCTGTGGATCAATATGAAACAAAGTTCGCTGAGCTATCCAAGTATGCACTGAGGTTAATTGAGAACCCGATGGACAGAGCAAGGAGATTTAGGGATGGATTGAAGCCTGAGATCAAGGACCAGCTGGTGTCCTGAATCTGAAAGACTATGATAAGTTGTAAGGCCATGGAAATGTTGGTCAAGCCACCAATACGATCATATGCCCCAATCTAATTGACATGTATTTTTCGAGACATGAACCATTCATTCTCGGTTACAACCCCGGCAAGGATTTCAATACATTATCACAATCAGATCGCATAGGACATCAATATTCTATCTTGTATATCTACATATATAACAAGAAGACAGATTCCATGTTGCGCACGCATGTGCCTTCGTATGTGAACAAACTATGACCATCAAGTACAGAGACGATTCGACGAAGCGTCAATATGCGCACTTATGAACCACAGCCTACCAACATATAAGTAAGCATTGTGCCTCAGGCCTAAGGAACTTACACAAGACCAAAGCATGAACGATCAGTCATTGACCACACTTAAAGCTTCTATGTTGCCAATCGTTCTATGCATGTCATGTTTAATGAGCTTGTCCGAGACAAGCACCCGTGTTCTAGCTCGGGTATCATCATTATGACATTCTGATTTTCGACCCATTTTCGGGACTTATGAAATGAGAATTTCCTCAATGCACTTGTAGTTAAATCTCGCCCGGAACTGATCACTCTCGGGATACTAACTATTAGGGAAAGGCTAACTAGGGATTTAAGTTCGCATGACCAAAGAACTCGACCATGGAATCAACCTACGACCATAAGGATTATCGAGGAGATATTTTGAGCCAACATAGACCGATCCAAGGAGGGTTGTGGATCAATTCACCGACATCATGCGATTGGATCGCGGGTGATTCCGCTTGACCATGGCATGCATAGCGAATGACCCCGAACCTATTCCGAACGATCGTGTCCATCGGAACTAGTGATTGACCCTCGCAATTACATGACAACAAAGGTCGCGGTGGCTCGAGTAAACTTCAACGTCGCTTGATCTCGTATCGACCACGGGTCAATCGCGCGTAACTCCTGAAAGCCGCCCGTTAGTTTGATACACATTAAAGCTGCATTTGAGTGATTTTGACCGTTACTTAGAATCCGAACTTGGGAATTGAATATCTCGAAGGTTCACGACTAATTCATTGGACGACATCACATTAAGCGTGGCCAACCTTAGGGCCACTCGGATTTTGTCGGAAAAATGAATTTTGGATAGGTTGTGGAAAATGACCATTTTGCCCCTGGAGTTATGAGAGTTCATTTGAAAATTGGAAGGACAATTTGGTAAATTGGCAACCCCCTTCTTGATCAAAATTTAAGGACCAAAGTGCCCTTATCTCCTCTTGCTCATTTCCACTTTTGCCCTTGAGAGTTAGTAGAGTTGACCAATGTGAGCCATTGGATTTTGTTGATGAGATTGGCCATTCAATCCTAGCCCTTGATTGAGTTAGTAGGGTTAATAGTAGTCAATCACCTTGTCTTTTCCTTGGACTCTCTCTCTCTCTCTCTCTCTCTCTCTCTCTCTCTCTCTCTCTCTCTCCTCTCCCACGATCATCTCTCTCCCTCTCCTTGCTGGTTAGACCAAAGCTCCCTCTACCCCTCCCTTCTTCGCGTGAGCAGCCGCTCGCCAACCAGCCAGAGCCGTCCGTCGCCGTCAGTTGCGCCGGAAACCACCCGTCCGCCGCTACTGCCTTCACCGCCAACCACGCCGTCTCTCTCTCCCTTTCTGTCTCTCGCTTCCAGCTACACCATTTCCGCCTCATCACCTCCGACCATCACCACCAGTAGCCCTGTCCGCCGTCGCCAGCCACCCACCTTGGCTGTCCGGCATCCACCCGACGATGCCGACGCCACCGTACCACCACCGCCACACCCCTTTACTCCTTGCTCGTTCGTTCATCCACCACCACCGACAGCACCACCCCGTCGCCCCTGCACCTCTTCAGCCCACCCTCGCCATCACAACCCCAGTTTGCCGCTCGCCCGTCTCCGCTCGTGAGCCACTGCAAGCCCGCCGAGACCCCAGCTGTTCCGGCGAAGCTGCTGCTGCCCTGCTGGACTAGTTGCTACCCCTGGTTTAGCTTCCTCTTGCTTAGGACTAAGGGTAAGTGACACCCTAAACCTTGTCTAAGACAATGGGTACTAATATGCTTGTTTAGAGACTGTTTAGGGGTTGAGTTAGAGGCTGAGATGTGGACTGAGCATGGCTGGTTGATGGACTGAATTGTGATGGTTTAGAGACGGATTTAGGGGCTATTTATGGATGAGTAAGTGCTGGAATGCTGGATTGAAATTGGTTAAAGTTATAGGTTGAGTTGTGGACTAAAATGTGGTTGATTGGTGACTTGTGCTGTGGCTGGTTGTTGCTCGCTTTGTGGGCTGAATTAGAGCTTGATTATGTGTCGTACGCAGTGAATTGATGGTTGGTTTTGGTTGCCTAAATGTGACTGGTTGTGTTTGAGCGTTCATGGCCATAATTGATAAAATCGTGGCTGATTCGGTGTGTGTGTGTGGGCTGACCTGGAACTTTGGAGGGTGATTGTATTCGAGTGTCGGCTAAGCATGAGAATGTCATTTGGAATCGAATGTGTGCATGGCTATGTGATCACCTAAGTGCCCTGATGAGTTATTACGCAGCGAAAAGATAATGAAATGAGTAATGGCGTGCTCGTGTGATCACTAAGTACCCTAATGCATCTTTACGCGGGAATCGAACTCGTCCTGAGGTGTTTTACGCGGGACGATGCCCGGTTACGCCGGAAGACCGCCAACCTAATACGTCTTACACGAGTTGTGCCGGGGACCTGATGCGTGTTACGTGGGTTTTGAATTGTCGTGGACCTGATGCATGTTACGCCGGTCGTGAATAATCTGGACGGAACACATGTGCGTGTTGCGCATTGGTGAATGTGGTGTGTCGAGGTTGAGATTCGATTATGTCCGAATTATTATTGGTGCATGTGCATGTGTAGGCCATATCATGAGTTGTATGTACGGTGAGGTATCGTTGTATTATTGTGATGGACTGACATGCAGGACTTGCGAATCTGCTGAGGCAGGGTAAGATCGCATGTTGATTATTTGAATTGTGCACTTAGACTTGTCTTGCAGTATGTGTTGGCCTATGCGGGGTTTAGGGAGTTTTATTATTGAGACTCGTTCTCATAGTTGTTTATAACCATTTCAGACCCCCGACCATGACCTTGCCACCTCGACGTTTTGGGGTCCCCATGCATACGGATCATGTGGAGACCAAGTACCCAATGGGTGTAGGTATAGCATATATTAGGCACTATTCTACGGTATGGGTAGACGAGGGTTTGGAATTTTGGAAGCACCACGCTTTCCTAGCTTGGTTTTACCGTGAGGGGGCGGAGATCACTGGTTCTATTCGTGAGTTCGAAGGTCCCCACCATGGCAGCGAGGATGCGATGGATTAGGACCCCTCGGAGACTTATGCTCCTGATGGTGAGGTCATCGACACGGAAGACCCTCCTGAAGACTCGATTCCCGAGCAGGAGCCCATAGAGCCCGATCCTGTGCTAGAGCCCTTTGAGTCCGACCCCGAGGAGGAACCCGAGGGGGACAATGATATGGAAGACCCGGAGCCACCTCCGGGGTATCGTGGGGACGAGGATTGATAGATGTAGTGATCCCCTTTTGATGGAACCCTCTTTTGATATAGTGACGTTAGGCTACCCAACCACCTGCCCATTTTTGATGAGCGTGGTTTGATGCTTGTGGCCTGTGGGAAAGTTTGTAAGTTGAATGTTGTAAATGTTGCTAAGTGTATAAAATGCGTTAGTTGTTATATGCACGAGTTTCCCTTACTATCCTTTTTGATTGAATGTTGTATGGAGTGTTCGAATTCGCTTCCGCTTGCGTATGATCATTAATGTTTCGTTTGGGTCGGCGACGAGTCCTGGGACTTCGCATTCACAATTGACCTACGAGGGGTGTCACGCACTCGTCGGGTTTCGGGGCGTGACATTCCCGTTGATTTGGTATCAGACCAAGGCCAACTCGATCCAAGTTGGTCGAGGCCTGGAGTGATAAGGAGAGATGACCATTAAGATAGATAGTTAGGGAGACCTACATGGATCCATGTTTAAATTGCGTTATGCATGTCTCGTGAGCATACGCATGTGATTGCTGGGTGACTCTGTGCTTTTATGCTTGAAATTAGAGGTGCGGCAAGACTAAAGGTACGAGCGAGAACCATGTTGTTTGTGTCATGATAATGTTTGCTTTGTGGTTACCTGCTATGTGTTTGTGGTTGGAATTCATTGCCTAGGGCTATAGACTTGTATAGCTGGCCTAGGTCTTTAATTCCTGGAAGGAATTATAGCAGGTAGGCGAGTGGTGAGAACCCTCTAAGAATGAGCAAAAGAGGTAGGGGGACAAGGGGCTAGTCAAGTTCTCATGCCCGAGCTGTGGAAGACCCGCGAATGGAAGGGGTCATGAAGGCCCTAAAGGAGGTTGAGAACTTAATGGGAAGGCAGACTCAGGAATGAGCTGCCATTGTCGCCCAGGCTGCTAAGGCCGTAGTCGCAGCTATAGTTGGCAATCAAGGCCAGGAAATTGTGAACCGTCAAATGCATCAGCTGCTCGAGCAATTCTTGAAGTTAAAGCCTCCTAAGTTTGATGGGAAAGGCAATCCCGAGGCTGCTTCTCTTTGGACGGAAGAGTTAGAGAAGGCTTTTGCAGTACTAGGGTGCACGAAAGTGGAGAAAGTGACCCTGGCAGTGTTTTAACTTCAGAGGAATGCAAATGACTGGTGGAAAGCCACTCGGGGTAGAGTGTTCCCTGCTGGCACGACCCAGACTTGGACGGCTTTTATTGAGGCCTTCAATGGGAAGTTTTTCTCGGAGAGTGCTCGGGAACAAAAGTTTGCTGAATTCCTAAGGCTTCACCAAGGTCAGATGACGGTGGACCAATATGAGGCAGAATTTGCAAGGTTGTCAAAATTTGCACCAAGGATGGTGGAAGACCCGGTGGACAAGGCCCGGAGGTTCCGAGATAGACTGAAGCTGGACTTCCGCAATCAGCTTATACTTATAAATTTAAGGGATTATAACGAGATGTATGAGAGGGCGCAGGCAGTGGAACGAGACATGATGGATAGGGCTGCTGCTTCTGGGTAGCGGTATGCCCCGGCTAAGGACAATCGCCACTTTGGGAAGAAGCCGATGACGGGGAATAAGTGCTTTGTTCCTTCCGTCAGAAAGAATATCAGGAAGCCGACTCACTATTCAAATGCTGTATGTCGATTTTGTGGGGGAAGGCACGGAAATGGACCTTGCCCGAGTAGGGGTGGAACATGCTTTGGATTCGGTGGACGAGGTCACCAAGTGAGGAATTGCCCAAATCGATAGACTAGGCCGCATGTGCAACCGCAGTCGCCTCGGACTAGAAATCAGATTGGTGTTGCCCCGCCGGCTAATCAGAACAGATCACCAGCTCAGGGACAGATGTATGCCATGGCGCGAAGGGAAGCTAAGGACGCGCCTGGAGTGGTCACAGGTATGGTCTCTCCTTGTGATCATGCTGCATATGCTTTGTTTGACCCGGGGGCATCACATTCATTTGTGTCCGAACAGTTTGTTAGATTGTCTGAAATTGAGCCGAAACCGCTAGAAGTTATGTTGTGTGTTACTACTCCATTAAAGGATAAGATGCTGATTTCGTTAGGGTGCTCGAATTGTAAGATTGTGATTGGTGATATAGAAGAAAGGATCGACTTAGTAGTCTTAGCTATGCACGACTTCGATGTTATTGTTGTTATGGATTGGTTAGTTAAGTAGAAGGCTGTAATGGATTGTAGCAACAGGGTAATTCAATTTAATCCAGTTGGACATCTTAGATTCGAGTTTGTGAGAAGTCGATGAGGAACCTCGATTCCCTGGATTTCGTCACTGGAGGTGACAAAGTTATTGGACGTAGGGTTTCAAGGTTTCCTAGCGACTATAATGGATATGACGGTTGGAGAACCGAGGCTAGAAGATATAGTCGTGGTGTGCGACTTTCCCAAAGTCTTTCCTCATGAATTGCCGGGATTGCCACCAGAAAGGAAAGTAGAGTTCGTAATCGAGTTGGCCCCTAGGACAAAGCCAATCTCGAGAGCGCCCTATAGAATGTCCTTGTCGAAATTGAAGGAATTGAAAGTGCAAATGCAAGAATTGTTGGATAAAGGTTTATTCGTCCAAGTGCGTCCCTACGGGGAGCGCCGGTCTTGTTCGTAAGGAAGAAGGATGGGTCGTTACGGTTGTGCATTGACTATAGACAGTTGAACCAAGTGACCATTAAGAATAAGTATCCACTACCAAGAATAGATGACCTGTTCAATCAGTTGCAGGGGGCATCAGTATTCTTCAAGATAGATTTGAGAACGGGCAACCATCAACTAAGGATTGAGAAGGAGGACATACCGAAAACGGCTTTTCGAACGAGGTATAGACATTATGAGTTTACAGTGATGCCGTTTGGTTTGACCAATTCCCCAGCCGCCTTTATGGACTTGATGAATCGGGTGTTTAAGGAATTTTTGGATCAGTTCGTCATTGTCTTTATAGATGATATATTGGTATACTCGAAGAGCCCGGAGGAGCATGAATTGCATTTGAGCAGAGTTCTACAGACTTTAAGAAAACACGCACTCTACACCAAGTTCAGTAAGTGCGAGTTCTGGCTCAATCGAGTGGCATTCCTAGGACATGTGATCTCTGGGGATGGAATCTCAGTAGATCCGGCAAAGATTGAAGCCGTCACGAAGTGGCCGAGACCGACAACGGTAACTGAGGTTCGAAGCTTCCCAGGTTTGGCAAGGTATTATCGGCGTTTCGTGGAAGGATTCTTGGCGACAGCAACACCTTTGACGTGTCTGCTTAAGAAAGAAACAAGATTTGAATGGACTGACAAGTGTGAAAGGAGCTTCCAGGAGCTAAAGCATAGATTGACAACCGCGCCAGTATTGACTATTCCATCAGAACCGAGAGGATATGAAGTCTACAGTGATGCGTCGCTAAAAGGACTAGAGTGCGTGTTAATGCAATATGGAAGAGTGGTTGCTTACGCATCGCGATAACTGAGGCCGCACGAGCTGAATTATCCGACACATGACTTGGAATTAGCAGTAATTATCTTCGCTCTTAAGATTTGGAAACATTACTTATATGGGGAGAAGTTCCAGATTTATACGAACCATCAAAGTTTAAGGTACTTGTTTTCCTAAAAGGAATTGAACATGAGACAGCGTCGTTGGATGGAGCTCCTTAAATACTATGATTGTGATATTTTGTACCATCCTGGAAAAGATAATAAAGAGGCAGATGCTCTGAGTAGGAAATCCAGTATCGCTCACACGTTGGTTAAAGAGTGGACTCCGTTGGAGGGAGCGCGAGACTTGGAGTTTAAGTTTGAAGTGAGTAATCTCTCAGGTTTAATGGTGACGTTAAAGATCGAACCGGAAATTCAGATCAGGATTAAGGCCTTACAATCTACGGACCAAGAGATTCAGAAGATTCTAGAGATGGATGCCACTAAGAGAAAACTAGACTTCCAAGTATCCGAGAATGGGATCTTGAAATTTCGAGGAAGGTTATGTGTGCCCGACGATGCGGAACTTAAGGGGTGATTTTATCGGAAGCTCACCGTAACAACTATAAGTATTCACCCGGGGAGCACGAAGATGTATTAGAATTTACGACATCATTATTGGTGGAATGAGATGAAAGTGGATGTCACCAAGCATGTAGCCAAATGTTTAACCTGTCAGCAAGTAAATGCGCAACATTGTAAGCCCGGAGGATTGTTATGACCTTTAGAGATTCCCGAATGGAAGTGGGAACACATCACTATGGATTTCGTCATAGGATTACCGAAAAGTCAGAGAGGCCACGATTCCATTTGGGTTATCGTCGATAGGTTGACAAAGTCACCACATTTTCTGGCGGTGCAAAAGGACTTCGCAAAGGAAAGGTACACCGAGTTGTATGTGCATCAAAAAGTCCATTTTCATGGGGTACCAGTAATGATTACTTCGGACATAGACCCTAAGTTTACTGCCACTTTTTGGAAAAGTCTTCAAATGGTAATGGGGACAAAGTTACAATTTAGCACGGCCTATCATCCGCAGACGGATGGACAGTCTGAGAGGACGATTCAAACTTTGGAAGATATGCTAAGAGCATGCGTTTTGGACTTTTAGGGCAAGTGGGAGGAACAATTACATTTGGTGGAGTTTGCCTACAACAACAGTTTTCAGCAGAGCATCGGCATGGCACTGTTTGAGGCGTTGTACGGCAGAGTGTGTAGGACTCCAGTGTGTTGGGAAGAAGTCGGCGAAAGGAGTATCACGGGCCTAGAATTGGTTCAGCAATCTGTTGAAGCGGTTAAGATCATTCGAGAAGACTCAAGACCGCTCAAAGTTGCCAAAAGAGTTACGTCGATCGGAGACGAAAGCCGTTGGAGTTCCAAATGGGGGATCATGTGTTTCTTAAGGTGTCCCCGATGAAAGGATTGTCCCAGTTTGGAAAGAAAGGGAAGTTGAGCCCGAAGTATGTAGGTCCGTTCGAATCTTGAAAAGGGTTGGGACCTTAGCCTATCGACTCACATTGCCGCCGACTTTGTCTCAAGTTCATAACTTGTTCCACGTGTCGTCGATATTCAGAAATCATCTAATTTACTATTTATATATAAATAAACCACATTGATCTCTCCCCCTACCCCTTTCTCTCTCTCTCTCTCTCTCTCTCTTTGAGTCCAATGAACATTGAGCTCTTTATACAAAATGGAAAAGGAAATCAAAAGGCTTAAAGCTCTTACTCAGCCCAGCAAGATTCCATCAAGGAAGCCAGCACAGGGGAGGTATTCTGTGGAATGGCTAGTCTTCTGTTCTGGAAAGCAACAGCCCCTACGACCAGCAGGTTTGCACCATCAAAACCAATCAAAACAAAATTAAAAATATTAAGAAAGAGAGGCTTCACGACATCTATATTCCTATAACTGTTGAGCGGTGGCAATGAAGAATGCAATAACCAAAACGAAGGGATGGAAAGAAGACATAGGGGAGTGAACCATGGAACTAGCAGCCCATGGATATAAATATTCTGTTAATACCTGCGCAGGGCTAAGTCCACTCCAAGGCTGTTGCATTGTCACAAGTTCCCATAAAATCACTCCAAAAGAATAATCATCGGATTTCTCATTTGAACGCTCAATCCGGAGCCATCCACTCGGGCTGAAAATAAAAGCAAGAGCGTCACATGCTAATTGATGCACTAAGAAGTACATTCGCAACCTACAAAATTTTCCATAGATTGATGGAAGAAACAGGAAAAACCAACAATCACAAGAGAAAGCTAGACAATTTGAATCAGTCATTAACTCTCACTGGGAAATGGATGAACTCTTAATGTAATTGAAGCATAAGTAAAAAACACGCACTTCTTAAACAATTTCTGGAGGATGAAGAAATGGATTTGCATCTCTTGAAATATATATTTCGATGTTTTTTACTTAAATTGATGCGGATAAAGTAAATTAGATGATTTTAGAATTTCATAACTCTAAAACAAGTTATGAACTTCCTTTTGGGAGAGTATAAATGTAAATTGCTATACTAAGATCGATGGCGTCTTATTCACTAAGCATACGATCCACCCTTACTGTAATCAACGTCACAAACTTTTTCTTCCATTAATTTTTGTCCAATCAAATGTTTTGAATGCTTTATAGCAGTTGTTTTTCTTTTTCAGAATTTTAATTGGTTTTAGTACGTGGTGAAAAGAGATCGTCAAATAATGGCCGAAAAATTGAACTTTTGCGTTACATCGAATTTTCCCTACATTTGAAATAAGGCGTTGACAATTACACTACAACACTAATTAACTAAAAGTCGTAAAACATGCTCCTGGTCACTATAAACTGAAAATTAAATTTTTAAGAAAAAACTATTTACTTCTCATAAATAATTGATCATGTTAACGAGGACTTCAAGAGTAACTTCCAAGTGTATCTTAAGATGAGTGTTGTAATTTCCAAAGCATTGACAGCACATATAATGAGAAAGTTGGCACATTAAAAACCACTAATTTTCTTTGTCGGACTTATGCTAAGTAAGTTCGATAATCGTGGTTTCCTTGGG